GAATATTGCTAAAAGCGGCGTAAAACCATACTCACTCACTCATTCGTGGGTAGCAAGTATAAGAGCGGGTTACAGGAGCAGGGGCGGATTCAATATGGTTTCCTACTTTATTTATTATAAAGAGAAAGGAAGGAACGTAACAGACACCCTTGACGAAGACCCTGTGGACATTCAGGCCACTGCGACCACACCCTATTTGACATTGCATAACGTTCGCACGGTTAAAATACAAAGCTTCATCAATATATGTGACCAATAATGAGATAAGGGACCTTATGGGAAAAGGATTACATTTTGACTTCTCATTATGTATTGAAACTATAGTAGCTTAGGAAGACAAAAATACAAATCACAAGCTTCAATTCATGAGATACATGGCATCAAACATTTTGAGTCATTTTCTGCAAAGTACCATTTTCAGACTTATTAAGGAGATTAATATACGAACATATGTATCATACTGATTTTACGAAACGAGTGTCCCTTGAGAAAAATGCACGGATCGCAACCCCTGTCCATGAAAACCATAATTTGTCGAATGACGTCAACAATCTTCAGCTATGACGCCGTTTCTAGTGTAACGTCATTCCGATCTTACGTCACAATATGATTCAAATGACGTCAACAATGCCGGCCTGATTTCGTAAACAATACACTGGCGTAGTGATATTTTCACTTGTGCTCATACGATGTTTATGAACGTTGTTTCTAACCCTAGGGGTAATAAAACTGTTTATTACTTGTCCGTGAAGAGACCACCCGTTTAATAAACATACAGCTGTATTACACTTTGTGTAATACCAAAACGCGTGCTTATGTACTGTCGGAACAAGTTTCACGAACAAATATTGAAAGCTCTCAACGTCCCTTTAGACTACTTGGCTCATTCAACGACTTTGCTGTGTGGAGATGATATTACACTAAGAGGAGCAACCTTGTTGCTAGGCTGACGTCACATGACATTGTTTCGCCGATGGATCTTGCAACAAAATTCCACAAATAACGTCATCGGGGATTGTGACGTTATTGTAAACTTTGTGGTTCAGAGCCCCGTTCCACAAGAAGATCGTACTGTAGCGCAACGACAGTCGTAAGTCTTTGTTAAAGTATGTGAGTTGCGATAACCTTAGAACTACGATACGGACGCCTGAATTCTAAAGGTGGACCGCTGTATGGTAGTAAATTAATCCGTTTCAACGTTTGACGTGTTTGAAGTATTATTCTGTAAAACCCATTTGGATATTATGCCGTGGATCGTGTAGGTGTCAGCCTATTCATACACGACAGTGTAATTCTAAAAACGTTATAAATGCAAGTAATAAATAAAATACTAAACTCGCTTTCGCTCGTCAGATACCACAACTATTTACTCGTTTCATAAAATTGTTACCACACGGGAGCTCGTTTAGTATTCTATATTTATGTTATAATTGGAGTTTTTAGATATAATGTCAGATTAATTGAACAAAATAAGACGAAGACAATTCATGGCAACCGTTAGAAAGAGATTTTATGAGCGCTTCTTTCTATTTTGCAATCACGCGCTCGACACTTCATACAAACGTAATTACTGTTCTCAGTTCAAATCGTTCCTAAATGTCTAAACCTTTATTACAGATCTTCTTTATCAACGGCAAAGTATAGCCATGTTCGTTGTAAAAACTCTAGTCTTGCAGTTGAATGTGGCCGCCATGCAAGGCCCCAACGAACGATTTTGTTTATTCCGGCATGCGAGCGGCCGTGCCCATGTAGAAGAGCTCTATATGCGCAGTTAACAAGTAACATATATTCTTTACCGTATAGAGAGTGTCTCGACACACATTTAATCAATCTACCAACAATAAAAACGTTTGACTGATGTCAAGTTGTCAACTGATAATATCCATAATATTAAATGTCTAATAACTTTTTCTATGGCTAAGTACAGAATCACCATGTCTGTCATCCCGGAAAGTCCTCCACACTCAGAAATAGGTTCAAGTTGGTGGCCAATGGGATGGCATACAGCGACAGATGGTTTTACCTACACGAGGAGATAGAACATGTTCTTTGGCATGATACACGAATGTCTGCAGGCACAAGTCTGACATTCCCCGTCGTGTGCTCATGTGCATATTTCATCACGATTTTAACACCCGCAAAGAAACACTCTTCATGTGAAAGTTATGGAGAAAAAGGAAGCGCTTGGTGAAAGATTACCACTTTGTTGAAAAAGGCCATCATGTATTTCAGAAGTTTAATTGTTTGTTTGTTGTTTAACGCCGCACTCAGCAATATCTCAGCTATATGGCGGCGGTATGTAAATAATCGAGTCTGGACCAGACAATCCAGTGATTGATTTCATGAGCATCGATCTGCGCAATTGAGATGCATGCATCAACCAAGTCAGTGAGCCCGACCACCCGATCCCATTAGTCGCCTCTTACGACAAGCATATATTTCAAAAGTGTGTTTATGTGGTAAATTTATGTGGGACAAAGGTCAGCGTAACTTATGCGAGACTACTTGGTAGTGATTTTGTTTGTTTGTTGTTTGACGCCGCACTCAGCATTATATGACTGCGGTTTGTAAATAATCGAGTCTGGACCAGACAATCCAGTGATTGATATCATGATCATCGATCCGCGCAATTTGGATACGATGACATGCATTAACCAAATCAGCGAGCCTGACCACCCAATCCCGTTAGTCGCGTCTTACGATAAGCATAGTCGCCTTTTACGGCAAGCATGGGTTTCTGAAGACCTATTCTACCCCGGGTCTTCATTGGTCACGTGGTAGTGAAGATACAACATTGCTTAACTACTTATTGCGTGATTAAATATGTAGATCTCTATGTGAACATTTCAGGTCTCATCTTCATACTTCCAGTTGTCAGGATATTGACCTTTCAGTGACTGACAGCGAATTGTGATTTACTTCATGTAAAACAGGGCGGTATGGTAGCCTAGTGGTTAAAGCGCTCGCTCGTCACGCCGAAGACCCGGGTTTCTACAGATTCTGCCAGTGCGACTACTGCAAGGCAGTCAAGATGTACAAAGACAGCTGACGGCCAGGCACCAGGAGGGTTAACATAATCGCGGCGAATGCGAAAAATCTAAATGTTCTTCCTGATTTCACATTTTCGCTCGTGGAAATCTATATTCATAAACTGTCCGGTAGCTCGGGGAAATCACAGATGGGAAAGCTACCAATACTTTTCTGAAGCTTATATCCACGGCCTGAAGGGTGAGTAATCGCTGTTCTTCACTAGTCTACAAAACACGATAAGTCGTATGACGTAGATGTCTCGGCTAATGTTTACGATGTTGCTCGGCAGTCATTATAGGGGAAGGTACTGTAAAGTCATAACTTTGAAATATGATCAGGGGAAGTCATGAATGTTTACTTATCAGCATGAACAAAACAGAAGACTCAACTTATTATGTGTCCAGGTTTCAAATCCTTCAATCCTGATTCGAAATTCTTCAAGCAAGCAGCATATTGATTGAGTTGGATAATCGAGATCATAAGCAAACATAAGCATATGCTGGATCTAGATATCTCTACTCCAGTAGATCTTTTGTATTATTAATGTGATACAATTTTTTTTTTCTGTTTAAATATTTCATCCATTTCGCACGTCATTTTTTTCAGTGGTTCCTACAGGTGATGATGTTCGTGTAACAGCATCTTGTTACAGATCACAGAGGAAAAACGAATCCCCTCATTAAGTTGAGGTATTTATAATATATGATGTTAAAGTAATGTTAATTTTATTTGAATACATATTCAGGGTTCACTCTAGGAGTTTTCTGACATGGGCCCTTTACGTGAAAATTTCAAATATTCCAGAGGTACACCCACACTTGGCCATACCGCACAGTGTTAAAATGCACCATTGTAAATGAAAATGTGGGCCTTTTTTTCAAATTTTGGGGCTAAAAGCACAAGGCCCAGCCTAGAATTATCCCTGCATATATAATGAACAGGCCAACATTCATATTGCATCAGTTGAAGAAACCTACCCATTATATGATAAGGCATTTTAAAAGTTTTGGCAACTTTGGAGATTGCGCCAAGGCTTGCTAAATACAGTGTTTATTCCTCATGCAGGATATTTACCATCCCCAAACACACTCGCGTGATAACCTCTATTTATCTACGTCACAGTTAGACACTGATTTTCAGTATATAAGACTGTTCTTAATAATGATAGCAATTATCCCTGTAGTTTATCCAGATTGCCGCGATCCCCGAATGACGAGGACGACGCCATGTTTGTTTATAAACAGTGAAAGTAGTCCCTACTTGACTTTTGATATTTGCATCTCTATCCGCATCTCTATCCGCATATGACCCCAACGTTTTTATCCGTTGGCTTTATCCTGCCGAGAAACCTACCCATTATGATAAAAGCGAATATGTTGAGGTGTGGTGTGGTTATTAGCCCTATCTGTTGATATCACCTGATAGAAAAATCTACAATCCTAGTCGAAACCCAACCTATGGCTTACTGGAAATAAAATGTCCAACTGTACCCAAATCTAGATTAGACTACTTGCATGTGCCTGATGGTCAGTTTTGACTTAAACATCTACCACCAAATACAGATGCAGGTGGCTGTAACTGGCCTGACATGGTTTGATTTGTTTGTGTAGCACCAGGAGTATCATCATCATTTAGAAACTCTTTATTTCAACCAACATGACTGGGACACAAGATTGGATGATTTTTCCCCCCGAACATTTCCTTGATTGAATTGTCAATTTGAATATTGACAAAATTGCAACTTTCAAACAATTTTACCTGAATGGACCTGATACCCACATTCAGAATATTAGAAATTATTGTAAATACTCTTTTACTATACTAATAAATTGATTTATTGTTAAATCTTTTCACTTATTCTATAGCATTGCTGCTGAAAAACTTTCCCAGGGAACATATTAGATCAATATTACAGGATTCAGTATCATACAGCAATACAATTAACCCATATAAATAACAAACACATGAAGGACAATAAATACAAATATATTTTCAATTTGTTATGTATTAACACCAGTGTAATAACAATAAACACATTGGCAGTAGGAAAGCACTGTATTAATTACTGATAAATAACAATCCAATTTTCTATATACAATTACTTTCAAAGTGTAAATTGGGTACAAATTTTAGAAAATTGTTAACTTCAATATTAAATTACAGATGTTTTACCCAGGGGCGATAACTTCCATCAGCATATAAGGTCTCACATTTTTCCTGTCATCCATGATTAAGAAATGGTAAGCAATAAAAGCAAAATGTCTGGACCCAGCTTACCAATGTATCGCAAAACAAAACAAAGCAGGACAAACATTCATGTGACATAAACAGCATTAATAGACATGCATCATAAAGGGCTTGAAGATCTCAATTTACATGTCATGTACTGTCATGAAGTGGCAGTCAAGTTTGATTCTACAATACATAATTTGCTGAAACACAGTATGAGCATGTGTAATAATACTTCATAGGAATTGTCTGTCTGTGATACAAAATATAAAATCTGTCATAAGTCATCATCAGATAAATTACAATTACAACTGGTTTCATTTGCCTTTTGCTAACAGTGAAAATATGAACAATTCATAATTTATCACAGGTTGTCTCCCCTTACACCACATTATAATATCTTACCTATAAATGAAAATTCCCAAAAGATGGAATTACCTATTTTATCAAGTTGAAATTGAACAACACATACGTTACATCTCAAACTGAGTTATTGTGACATTTTCATTAATACTCATCTGAATCCATCAATGTATTTCAAGAGTCTGTTAGCTAAGACTTTATATTACAGAAGAAATTCATTTACATTTATATGTCTACCTCTTCTTGTGCTAGTGCCCTTGGGCAAGGTATTACTCCTACTTGGGGTGATATTCAATGAGTACAAGAGTACATGTACCAGCTACTCAATATCACATAAATGAAATGTTGGTGAAACTGCTGTTCAAAACAATTAGATATCAACATTTGATGTTCAAGGCTAAGAGCTGTAAATGCTGAATATTGCTTATCTCCCTTGGCTATAAGGGCCTTCTAAACAGGGTTAGTAAGTTTACTACACCCCACAGCTGACTGATTGACCAAGCCATTGATGAGGGAACTGTACCATTTGGTACATGGTACTCTTTTACTAGTTTGATATGCCTTTCAATGTGGATCCTATGACTGGAAATTTGTCGATTTTCTTCGATTTCGGTTTGCTCAAATTGACAAGCAGGACTCAAGAAATGAGGAGTTTTTATTGACACACCAGTTCCTTCCAATAGTTTGCCTATAAGAAAACCCTTGCCATCCACGATGACATCCCCTGGCTCAAGCAATGACAAGAGTCCACTGTTTGGTGATTTCCGTGTCAGACATACAACCTGAGAACATGGCAGATACAAAGGTTAATGCCCCATGAGGAGCAATACCCACCAGGCCTGGCCTTGTATTCCTACTCTTGTAATGAGAATACAGTAGGGAACCTAAATGTACAGAGGAGGGTCTCTTGGTATATATTTCCGTGCAGTCAATGATGACTCGAGTTCTAGGGTATAACAATCGGACGTCTTCAGGCGTATTTTCCAGAACAACATCAGCAGGAGGCCACATGTTAATGCTACCCAAAACACATTGAGATAATTGCACCAAGTCAAAGCCTTTCTACTTATGGTAGAGACATGACAATTGAACCTAACAGATAAATCTACTTCACTTGAACCCAGCTTAATTCTGACAAGAAACATGAATAACTCCTCAAATAATGGAATAGAGTGAGAACTGTTTGGTTTTGGAAGACCGGATTCACCTTGGTAATGTAGGTTTGATAAAATCAAAAAAATCTTGCAATGTTTGAAATGATGGTAATCCTGTATAATATTCCAGCAATATATCATCATACATGAATTTACAAACTCCAAACTTTTCAAGTTCAAGTCGTCTGTTAAGTTCTTCAGTCTTGTCATCCTTTTCCTTGAGTTGCCTCCCTTGTTCACGTAGTTTCTCATTGAGTTGGTCTATGTAGGACTGGTGGTTAGTGATCGTGGCATCACATTCTGCTGCACTGTAACATCCCAATTATGATGGATCAATATTACCGTATTCGTCGTAATAACCGCCCCGCTCAAATAAGCGCCCACGGCGATATTTTCTAATATATTGGCTATTGAACAATCCCATTTAGCACCCCTTCCGATTGATCAATGTACACAAGACGTATAATACGCACTCGTGTGTTATATGCATTTTTAATTATGGGCAATTAAATCCTGGAAAAATATATCAGTCGCATATAAACATTTCAGTCTGTCAGCATAAACCACGAAATTTATCTTTCAACTCTGTGTTTTTTTCACCAAAATAATATTCTAATAAGAGCCCCCTATTTCTTATTTTTAGAGCGCCCTTGGCGCTTATTACGTCGAATACGGTACTTCTTAAAAACTCAATTAACAATAAATATATCTTTGGAATTACAAATAAGGCAAAATAAATTTAATAAGATTGTCATTCTTACTGTATCAGAGATGGTGACTGGTGGGCTCCTTGTTGGAGATTCCTCAGGTGGTGACATTTTCTGAGACTTTTGAACAACATCATCTGAAATACATATTTGAAAAGTAAATACATTTCAGTTATGGTCACGAACTTGCCCTATGATATTTCCTTTATTGCTGAAGTAGTGGTCGCTGGTCAGTGCTATTACAGGTATTTATTAATGTTTTATGACCTACATGTGTGTCATAAATACTTGAAATATTACGAAGATTTGTAGCAAATCTTATTTCGCTGATATAAAGACTGTTTACAATTAACATTTCCTTACCTCTATGGCAAGAGTGTCTCCAAGAGGGTGGCTTCCTGTCCATTTGAAGTCATCCTTCATGAAATGGATGCTGCACACAACTGTGTTTGTGGTTATCTTTGAATAAAAATATAAGATAGTGAACACAAGTTATAGATGTATCTAGTGAAAATATTAAATATCTTAAATATGTAGGTATATGATGTCCTTTACTATTATACAAACTATACTTAATAAAGTTAATATAAAACCTTTCATTCATTAAAACGTTATTAGGTCTAGGATTTTTGGAAAATTATTAGCAATTCAGCCTTCCTTCCTCACTCCCTTTACAAACTCCTGATTACTTTTTTAAATTCTGTCCACATACATACATTCACTTGAGTCACACATGGTTAGAAGTTGGTGACAGTAATACATCCTAACATCCATGTTACCTCGCATCTTGTTGTATATTTACCGAAGGCCTAATTGTCTATGTAGCTACTAGGCCTTCCTAGTACTTACAGTTCACTTGGCCAAACACAGATAGGATTTTTCTACAAACACAGGCCTACACATTACACAGGCCTAGACTACCTACACATACTCGTCAAAATCGGCATTTCTCCACATTTACTTGTATGACATGTTGACGAAACTACTGACAACGAATTTCATTATTTTTTTATGTCAGCTCATAGACTATATAATATAACATGTCTTTGGGTGGATGAATGTCATTTTGATCTTGAATATTGAACAGTTTGGATATGTTAAGCAGTGTCTATGTATCATAATTAGGCCTAGTATGTACTCACTGTGAATGACTTTCCATGATCTCTACGTATTTTCGACTGCCTTCTCACATTCTTATCCTTGTGAATGCGGTGGAAAGACACGGTAAAATCCCTACGGGCATCGCTCCTACACAAAGGTACACTGTAATCTGTCCTTTTCGAGGTCGCCATTTCCAGGGTTTCGGGTTTGGTTTGGGTTGTTGTTTAACGCCACACTCAGCAATATTCCAGCGATATGACGGCGGTCTGTAAATAATCGAGTCTGGACCAGACAATCCAGTGCCTGATATCATGAGCATCGACCCATGCAGTTGGTATCGATGACATGCATCAACCAAGTCAGCAAGTCTGACCACCCGATCCCGTTAGTCGCCTTTAACGAAAAGCATAGTCGCCTTTAACGGCAAGCATGGGTTGCTGAAGACCTATTCTACCCCGGATCTTCACAGGTACCATTTCCAGGGAGTGAATGCCTACGTTACCTTTAGGTCATGCATATTGGCTAAGAATGGTCAATATGGCACCGTAAATGGATGTTGGGATGTCACCAACACACTAGGCTCCAGATGCTCCACAGAGTAAACACACATCGTGGTTCTTGGCAATTATCTTCAGTTCATTGCCAAAGGTTTCTTAAAGGAGAGAAAGCTCTTGAAAGGACCTGCCATATGACCACGTGTTGACGTACCTGAGGTAGGTGTTCCCACATATGACCACGTGTTGACGTACCTGCGGTAGGTGTTCCCACATATGACCAAGGTGTTGACGTACCTGAGGTAGGTGTTCCCACATATGACCAAGGTGTTGACGTACCTCAGGTAGGTGTCCACTCATATGACCACGTGTTGACGTACCTCAGGTAGGTGTTCCAACATATGACCACGTGTTGACGTACCTCAGGAAGGTGCTCCCACATATGACCACGTGTTGACGTACCTGCGGTTGGTGCTCCCACATATGACCAAGGTGTTGACGTACCTCAGGTAGGTGCTCCCTCATATGACCACGTGTTGACGTACCTCAGGTAGGTGTCCCCTCATTTGACCAAGGTGTTGACGTACCTCAGGTAGGTGTTCCTACAAATGACCACGTGTTGACGTACCTCAGGTAGGTGTCCCCTCATTTGACCAAGGTGTTGACGTACCTCAGGTAGGTGTTCCCACATTTGACCACGTGTTGACGTACCTTAGGTAGGTGTCCCCTCATATGACCACGTGTTGACGTACCTCAGGTAGGTGTTCCCACATATGACCAAGGTGTTGACGTACCTCAGGTAGGTGTTCCCACATATGACCACGTGTTGACGTACCTCAGATAGGTGTTCCCATGTATGACCAAGGCGTTGACGTACCTCAGGTAGGTGTCCCCTCATATGACCACGTGTTGACGTACCTCAGGTAGGTGTTCCCACATATGACCAAGGTGTTGACGTACCTCAGGTAGGTGTCCCCTCATATGACCATGTGTTGACGTACCTCAGGTAGGTGTTCCAACATATGACCACGTGTTGACGTACCTCAGGTAGGTGTTCCCACATATGACCAAGGTGTTGACGTACCTCAGGTAGGTGTCCCCTCATATGACCACGTGTTGACGTACCTCAGGTAGGTGTTCCAACATATGACCACGTGTTGACGTACCTCAGGTAGGTGCTCCCACATATGACCACGTGTTGACGTACCTGAGGTTGGTGTTCCCACATATGACCACGTGTTGACGTACCTCAGGTAGGTGTTCCAACATATGACCACGTGTTGACGTACCTCAGGTAGGTGTTCCCACATATGACCAAGGTGTTGACGTACCTCAGGTAGGTGCTCCCACATATGACCAGGTGTTGACGTACCTGAGGTAGGTGTTCCCACATATGACCACGTGTTGACGTACCTCAGGTAGGTGTTCCCACATATGACCACGTGTTGACGTACCTCAGGTAGGTGTTCCCACATATGACCAAGGTGTTGACGTACCTCAGGTAGGTGTTCCCTCATTTGACCACGTGTTGACGTACCCCAGGTAGGTGTTCCCACATATGACCACGTGTTGACGCACGTCAGGTAGGTGTTCCCACACATGGCCACGGTGTTGACGTACCTGATGTTTGACAATGTAAGTATCCAGTAGTCTGCAGCAAAAAGTGACACTGCGACTCTTGGTATTCCCCCCATCAACTGAAATGAAAGATGAACTCATGAAATAAACTTTAACAAAGCAAACGTACTAAATAGAGAATCTAACCCTCGTGTCTTTTGATATCAAATACATCAACACGAGTTGATAAAAGTGGAAAAACGTTGATGCTTGCCGAGGAGTTTTTCCACTTTTTTTCAACGAGTATTGATATATTTGATATCAAAAGACACGAGGATGTGATTTTATTTATCATCTCACATCATTCTTCCAGTTTGTTGACAGTAATAAGCAGTGTCTTAAGTGTAAAAAGTGCTGCTAACAGCTTCAGTTGCAGAGCCATTAGCGATGTCATTTAATTGTAACATCATGGTAACCAATGACGTGACAATGGTCTGCAAAGCATTGTGATGCAATGAATCTACAATGTACAATGTAGATATTGCTTCATCACAGCCAAGCAATATCTCCTGTGGGAGCCAGATTTGAATGATAATAAACTTTTGTTCAACATAACTTATTTTAATGAAATGACATGAGTATTTTGTAGCGTATTTACATATTTTATCTAAATCAATATACTATACCAAAAACATGTTGAAAACGTGTTAAAAGTCTTTTTTTAAAAAAATGACATTATTGCGAGGTGTTTTTCTTAAAGAAAAAAATATGATCTAATCTCCATACAAAATCCTAGACCCCTCAGAAAAAAATGGTCGGTCCCTTAAATATACAACCACGAGAATTCTAAATGTATTTAGCATTCATTGATGTGGAAAGCTTAAAGTAATTTGTTATATTTCAGTGTGAAAGACTGAGTTTTCTGAAGTTGAGAAAAGTGATATTTTCATTGCAGTGAACATAACACTTGATATTTCACTGCAGTGAACATTACACTTTGACGAAACTATTATCATACAAGAGACACCTCCCCTTAAATTGTCTTTACATATCAACCATTTTTGGTTGGAAGCATTCTCCGGTAGTGAGGATTCAAAATTGTACAAATGGAGGGGCTGACCCGGGGCGGGCCAAATAGGGGTAATTTGGCGTTATTGCTTTAAACGACTCTTTCTCTTGAACTAAGATATAGATATCAACCATAAATGGTTGCCAGCATTCTCCGGTGGTGAGAATTCGAAATTGTACAAATGGAGGGGCTGATCACCCCCAAGGGGCTGAGGGGCGGGGCGGGGCGAAATAGGGGTAACTTTCGCGTTATTGCTTTAAACGACTTCCTCTCTGGAACTAAGTGATTCAAATTGGAGAAATGGAGGGTTGAGCACCACCTCCACCCCCATCCCCGGGGACTGAGGGGCAGGGCTAAAAAGGTAATTTGGCAATATTGCTTTAAACAGCTTTTTCTCTGGAACTAAGAGATGGATGGACGTCATCCATATTTGGTTGGAAGTATTCTCAGGTGGTCGGAATTCACAATTGTACAAATGAAGGGGCTGACCCCCCAGGGGCTGAGGGGCGGGGCCAAGAAGAGTTTATAACTGGAAACTTAGATCCTGGATCTTAACATTGAAACGGTTCCGATCTTTATACTACATTTGTAGCTAGAGAAATACATGTTCATGCTGTCAGATTTGCCATCCACCTAATTTAAATGCTGACAGAGTCAAAATTACGAACTATTTGCAATATTATATACATGTACAGTGCAAATGTATATTTTGTCATGATTGCCTAAATACAGGCCCAATTGGCCTCTTGTTTTTCTTAACGTTGATTTTGTACATAATCATATCTAAATGAATAATAAAGAATTTTCGTGACCATTAATATTTGTTTTATACTTTTGTTTATATTGTTTAAGATTTTGCAAACACGAAACTACCTTTTAAGTCGCAAACACAAGGAGTGGTGAACCGTCCCGGTATGTTAGGTAGGTAGAATATACATTTCAAGGTTTTACATTTTTAATGAAATGATTTAATTTTCCGGTAGAAACCTACACACTCCCTGCCCCCTACTCGATGAGAGAAACATGATATTTCACCCGCCACATGAAATATTCTCTATATCTAGCTGTTACATGAGAATATTTTATATAATATTTGTTTAAACTCTCCACGACCGAACTACCGATCACCTAGTGTACTCACTTCAGACTTTGCTGGCAATGTTTCAACATCCGGGGCTCAAAGTATATGAACGAGTAGGGATAATTTCTGTGCTTACAACTGGAATCTGGAGTAAACTCTTTCACGCTCCTGGGCGTGTCATTCTATCTGTATCAACCGTGCTGGACTTCAGCCCTGTTGCTTTGATAAGTCAGCAGGAAGTTGTATATATTGTCATCATGGCCCTCTGAATTCTGTGTTGCAATTCGGCTTGGATAGGTATTCAATCATAACTGAATAATATCAATAATGCTCCGTGGCTGTCTCAATAACATGACTCAAACATGTCAGGTTGATACGCCCTCATGGTTGAATAGGCGCATCTTATTTTTAGATTTTGCTTTAACGCCATAATAAGCTTGTTGCTCAACCAGTAGAAAAACATAATAATAGTTGTCGCCATTGATATTATTGCTTTTTTTATCAATGTTTGACTATCACAGGGTTGTTGGGAAGGACAACATGACATGCGAGAATTGGTCGCCTCGATTTCTCAGCTAACTTTCCCTGTAAACCCTGAGAGAGATAGAGAGATATATAGAGACGGACGGAGACAGAAACACAGACAGAGAGACAGAGAGATAGACGATATATAGAGACGGACGGAGACAGAAACACAGACAGCAGACAGAGAGATAGACAGATATATAGAGACGGACGGAGACAGAAACACAGACAGACAGAGAGATAGACAGATATATAGAGACGGACGGAGACAGAAACACAGACAGAGAGACAGAGAGAAAGACGATATATAGAGACGGACGGAGACAGAAACACAGACAGCAGACAGACAGACAGAGATATAGACAGATATATAGAGACAGACGGAGACAGAAACACAGACAGACAGAGAGATAGACAGATATATAGAGACGGACGGAGACAGAAACACAGACAGACAGAGAGATAGACAGATATATAGAGACGGACGGAGACAGAAACACAGACAGCAGACAGACAGACAGAGAGATAGACAGATATATAGAGACGGACGGAGACAGAAACACAGACAGCAGACAGACAGACAGAGAGATAGACAGATATATAGAGACGGACGGAGACAGAAACACAGACAGCAGACAGACAGACAGAGAGATAGACAGATATATAGAGACGGACGGATACAGAAACACAGACAGCAGAGAGATAGACAGAGAGATAGACAGATATATAGAGACGGACAGAGACACAGACAGCAGAGAGATAGACAGAGAGATAGACAGATATATAGAGACGGACGGAGACAGAAATGCAGACAGCAGACAGACAGACAGAGAGATAGACGATATACAGAGACGGACGGAGACAGAAACACAGACAGCAGACAGACAGACAGAGAGATAGACAGATATATAGAGACGGACGGAGACAGAAACACAGACAGCAGACAGACAGACAGAGATATAGACAGATATATAGAGACGGACGGAGACAGAAACGCAGACAGACAGACAGAGAGATAGACAGATATATAGAGACGGACGGAGACAGAAACACAGACAGCAGACAGACAGACAGAGAGATAGACAGATATATAGAGACGGACGGAGACAGAAACACAGACAGACAGACAGAGAGATAGACAGATATATAGAGACGGACGGAGACAGAAACACAGACAGCAGAGAGATAGACAGATATATAGAGACGGACGGAGACAGAAACACAGACAGCAGAGAGATAAACAGAGAGATAGACAGATATATAGAGACGGACGGAGACAGAAACACAGACAGACAGACAGAGAGATAGACGATATATAGAGACGGACGGAGACAGAAACACAGACAGACAGACAGACAGAGAGACAGACAGAGAGATAGACAGATATATAGAGACGGACGGAGACAGAAACACAGACAGCAGACAGACAGACAGAGAGATAGACAGATATATAGAGACGGACGGAGACAGAAACACAGACAGACAGAGAGATAGACAGAGAGATAGACAGATATATAGAGACGGACGGAGACAGAAACACAGACAGCAGACAGACAGACAGAGAGATAGACGATATATAGAGACGGACGGAGACAGAAACACAGACAGACAGAGAGACAGACAGAGAGATAGACAGATATATAGAGACGGACGGAGACAGAAACACAGACAGACAGAGAGATAGACAGAGAGATAGACAGATATATAGAGACGGACGGAGACAGAAACACAGACAGCAGACAGACAGACAGAGAGATAGACAGATATATAGAGACGGACGGAGACAGAAACACAGACAGCAGACAGACAGACAGAGAGATAGACAGATATATAGAGACGGACGGAGACAGAAACACAGACAGCAGACAGACAGACAGAGATATAGACAGATATATAGAGACGGACGGAGACAGAAACAGAGACAGCAGACAGACAGACAGAGAGATAGACAGATATATAGAGACGGACGGAGACAGAAACACAGACAGCAGAGAGATAGACAGATATATAGAGACGGACGGAGACAGAAACACAGACAGCAGAGAGATAGACAGATATATAGAGACGGACGGAGACAGAAATGCAGACAGCAGACAGACAGACAAAGAGATAGACAGATATATAGAGACGGACGGAGACAGAAACAGACAGCAGACAGACAGACAGAGAGATAGACAGATATACAGAGACGGACGGAGACAGAAACACAGACAGACAGAGAGATAGACAGATATACAGAGACGGACGGAGACAGAAACACAGACAGCAGACAGACAGACAGAGATATAGACAGATATATAGAGACGGACGGAGACAGAAACACAGACAGCAGACAGACAGACAGAGATATAGACAGATATATAGAGACGGACGGAGACAGAAATGCAGACACAGACAAATGTACAGGGAGAGGCACGCACACACGCACACCCAGGCGCAGTCAGAATGGCGAAACGAATTGAGTGCAATTGTCATTGAGCTTGCTTCAAGACAATATATATCAGCCACCACCGACAAAACAAAGGGAAATCATTCTCTTAATGACAGACGTCTGCAGGCCAGCTTCAACTCTACTGCAATGACTGAGAGGGGTCCACGTGACATGTGTGCAAATGAAAAAACAAAGCTTGAATAGCAACGATGTTAAAATGTCGAGCTTTTCATGATAATCTATCAAAAGGAACATGAAATAATATGACATGACAGGGCCTCAATTCACTGTGTTGTACATCTGCTAGTATTGTATAATAATATAATCATATCAGTGTCTAGGATTACCATATTTGATTAAAATGCGCGAAAAGACACTGTTTATTACAATTTACACTGAATAGTTTTAAAACTTTGCCTGCATCACATACACCGAATAATGAAGCACTCACGACATGGCTTAAGCCTCTGAATCCTCCTCCTGCCGACCTCCAGGATCAACGTGACGTGGTTGTAGTCTCCGAATCCTCCTGCCGACCTCCAGGATTAACGTGACGTGGTTGTAGCCTCCGAATTCTCGCCGGCACATTTTTAGATTTCAGGCTGCTGTTTCTAGATTACATGTCAACTAAAGACAGCATGTTAAGGGGCTTACTGTAGACTAGGGTGCCACATGTTGCAGTACAGTTGCAGTACAGTAGTGTCACGGCCCCCTACCTATCAGGAACCTTGATTCTTAGAGATTTTAGTCCTTGATGGTTAAATATTACCCTTCGTCAGTGACTTTCATCAGTGTTAAGTGTATTTGATCGACATGCGAGTTTCTTTACAACATTTAACACTGCCCGGACATAATTGAAATACTGTTGAAACCTACACGTTACCCCACGTGTATGACAATGTCGATAAGATCGACTTGAAACATAACAAAACGTGGAGAGATACAAAGGAATGATACTTGCAGCTCCACCCTTCTTCTGAATATCAATGCCATCAGAAATGTTATCTGAATTCCAGGGATTCTACATTCTTTTGAATACAATCATTATATAGCTTTGTTATTCTGTTAAGCTGTTTTCTGTGAACAAATTTGACAATCAAGAAAATATACCAACTCGTAGCACTCCATGCGTGACGTCTGACCCGAAGCATTCACCTTGTGTTTCAGTGATTCGGTAACCCAGTGACTTGAAATGTATTCATTATGTATAATATATCATTTTAATATAATACCTATGAAAAACGAAACAAATCGTTTTAACAGCAGAAACTTAAAAATAAAATCCGTCTTATAAAGCAGCTGTAATATGTATGAATTTCATTGGCACATTGTAGCAGCATATTTTGATTCAGGACCACTAACTGGCCGTATTAAGAGTCACTACTAAAAGTGGATGGTACTTGGACAACATCGAGTGATAACAATTCACTGATTTATCCACCAGAGGTGTGTTATAAAACCTGTACATATATCTTGCTATAGATCAGCATATTCGAGAAGATAACGGAAGATATATAAAAAAGCAAATACGAGTTCTGGTGCCTAAGTTGCAGAAAAACAAGAAAGCATATAATTCAATCATAATTCTTACTAGTTGCGAAATACAAAAGCAGAGAATATTTCGAAACTACTTGGATAGTATGTTTCAAACAGATGTGCTACAGCAGATTACTACCAGTAAAGCCGATGTTATATAGGCAAGCCTACGTAAGCAGATAGTAGAATACTGAGGCGCCAGAGGACAATTCACACATAGGCACACACCAGTACATACATGCATACTTCACACTAACACATGAACACATACACACGCATACATACATATGCACACATGCATTTGCACATTCACTTTACATTTGATGTTTGTCCTATGACAAGATCAAACTCCACATTTTGTAGTTGGCATCAGATACGTTGTCTATTGCTTTTCATAATGGCAAAAGTTCATCATTATGCAAACTGATACAGACATAACATATATACATATATACAAAGGAATCTACGAATGACACAGGACTATACTTCAAGGTTCAGGATTTGCATTAATAGATACTTGACATTGTAAGGATTGGAACCTTGACCCTCACCATCACAGTTGACGTACGCAAATGCCGTTGCAGGAACTTCGTGCACCACGTCTCCCGTCCCGCTCTCAACACAATAACACCTTCTCGTGGCAAGGTCATCAATGCTGACGTCACACTGGGGAGGCGTAAACATGCCGTCTGGCAAGCACGTGCGCTCGTGGAGATAAGAAAGGTTCATTGCGTGCATTGCGGACTTTAGTGCATCAAGGTCAATAAAGAGACGGAACAGCACGATGCTCATGTCGGTGTTGTCCGTTGTGTTGAGGACTCGAACCGTCGTTGTATGGAGCTCCTGTTGCCGCTCACACAGACTGAGGTTCTCTGCATATAGGGTAAATTAGTAGAACATATATAGTGGCCTGTTCTAATGTTCTACTTTAATGTTTTAATTGATAATGTCTTACAAAAATGCCATTCTAATGCACGTGTGTACATCACATAGATAGACGTATGTAAATTCTGCACACGTGTGTAAACATGTCATCAGAACGCAAATATTCACAATATGCAAAAGAACACTTTATGCAAATTTGCACCATGCTTCGAGTTAGTGCAACGTATTTGTGCACGTGTATTTACTGCACGTCTATTTGCTGCACGTGTGTATTTACTGCACATGTGTATTTAGTGCACGTGTGTATTTACTGGACGTGTGTATTTGCTGCACGTGTGTATTTACTACACGTGTGTATTTACTGCACGTGTGTATTTACTGTGTTCGCGTTCGTCAACTTTCCGTGGAGACGAATTATTTTCGCGGTCTTTCTTATTTTCGGCTAGGATTTCCGTTTTTTCCTGATATCTTCACATTGGGCCGGGGAATAACTGGTATTTTTCTGGATACGTTTCTCTTTTCAAACACTACTTTGGCAAAACGTCTTTGAAAACGTACAGACGTGCTCTCAACTTTTAAATGGAGTCGTATTTTAAAATAAAATGTGGGGTATATACATACTCTTCGCCCCGACGACTTGCAAATTACACAGCGGTCCAGCACGCGATTCCGGGCACTGGCATAAGTCCCCGTTATCCACGTTACCAACGCATTTGCCCAGGGGAGTGTTCAGCGTGCAGATGTCAGGCATCCCAGCCACCGCCGATAGGACAGTGCACAACGAGTCTGAATTTTAGAATTATAAAAGTACATTTGAAGTAATAATATGTGATATAAAAATGCTTTCAGTTTCGGTGAATATTTTAGATGGTTTCATTTATACCTTAACGAGTGGCCCAGTCGCCCAAGCCGCCGTTATTCGCTATCCAAAGTTGCGTCCCTTAGTCGACATGAATTGTTTCTGTGTGTTTGTTTGTTTGATGTTTAACGCCGCTCTCAGCAATATTCCAGCTATTTGACGACGGTTTGTAAAATAATCGAGTCTGAACCAGACAATCCAGTGATTAATATCATGAGCATCGATCCACGCAATTGGAATCGATGACATGCATAAACCAAGCCTGACCACCCTATCCCGTTAGTCGCCTTTTACTGTTTCTGTGTGAAGTGTTTCTGTGTGAAGTGTTTCTGTGTGAAGTGAGGTGCAATGGGCGTTTCACATTGCTTTCATGATAATTGTACTTACATAACCATGTGCATGAACGTGTGTGCAAGGCTGCTTGTACTAGTCCGGACTTGTATTGGTTTATATAGATAAGATACCATACCCCACTTTAACATGAATACCGCTCTCAGACACAGTAAACTGACTCTGAGCCGACAGTCCTTGTTTTTCCTTGTATGATAAGTACCTTATTTTAACGTCTGTTGACATGATGCGACCAGGTGATCGAACCACCGAACTCT